AAAGTCCATGTTGTTCCACATACAGATGCATCTAAAAGAGTAGAAGAAATATAAGAAATATAAGAAGATGCAATGAAACTAGATGATAGAACCTTTAACATGTATAAATACATTGTAAATTTCTCTTTTCATGTATTATTTAGTTCAGTTTGAACTTTTATCTTGTAACAACAATAATATATTAATAATAAAATACAAACATAAATATCTCTTAAAATAACCTCTTGCCAGTGGAATAATCCACCCACTTCCAAAACCAACCAATCTGCTCTAACTAACTCAATTAATTAATTAATTGCTAACTTATCAGGGGGACACCTTTGATAAGTATAGCTGTGTGTATGTATTTTCTTTTAATTTTATTTTCTTTATTTTTTTTTAGATTAGGCCAATACCTAAGAAGTGGAAACCCTAGCTAGGTGTGGTCAGTTAAAATACTGGGCCATAAATATAATTGATAAGCATAGAAAGTATCAATACAAATACTTAGGATATTATAAATAATAATTGAGATGCGCCAGCTTAGGCAGATAACAAAGGACTGCTGAGAAAACATTACCAGACAGGAAGCAACAAAACTTGCCCCACAATGGATTAATAGTTTGAGCACTATTACTGCCATAAAATAAAGAGGGTGTAATTAAGAATTAAATAATTGGATGCTGCCATAAAACGAAATAAATACTATTCTAACCATATCAAGAGATTTGCATGAGAAACAGATTTTGATCTCACACTACAGTATTACTTATTATTATGCACCTAAGGTTGTGGGTGAAACCTCCTTAGTAATTGCTGAAACTATGGCAAAACTATATTAAAATCCTGTTGAAACTATGCTGAAATGGTGAAACCTCAAAATGTGAAACTCTAATAAACAATTAATGTGTAACCTGCTGAAACCCTGCTGATTGATTTCTGGAGGAGTTTCAGCAAGCAATCTTATATGTATCTAAAGAAAATAATATATATTAATTGATTTAGATTTATTTTTAGTTTTAACTAATTTCCTGCATGTAGTAGGAGGTTGTATTTTGATAAGTAAAACATGGGATTAGCCATCTATTTACCCACTTATAAAGTTCTATCAATAATAAAAAAATATATAAATAATTAAATATACATAAAATTATTATAGAACAACTACCTTTTGAAATTCTTTTGATGTTCATGTATAGTACTGTTATCATGTACATATTAGTGTTTCATATAATGAATCAAATGAAGTAAAAGATGTAGTTAGTCAAAAAAATCTCTTGGAAATACATAATTTTATATAAATAATACTTATTTTTTTAAAAAATTTTGCACACCTTAGTAAAATTTATATATTAATAAATTTAAAATCCTTTTTAAATCGATGTATAATATCACTATTGTGAACATATTAATGTCTCAATGAATCAAATTAAGTAAAGGCATAGTTAGTCAAAAAATTTCTTGGAAATATATACAATACATTTATATAATGGCATTTACTTTTTTTTAACATCAATTTATAATATTGTTATTGTCTCTTAAATAAAAAGTGTAGTTTATTCATACTCTCACTACATGGAAACTTTGATAATGTAAAGATCTATTTTTTTAATATTAAAGATACTTTAGAACAGACTTTGTGTTTCATATTGGATTAAACACTTTTTGTTCTATATAATTTAGACAAACCCCTGAATGACTGTTTTACTGTTGTGATTATTGTTGTTGCTGTCATTATTATTAGTTCTGTTTCTAAAATTCAAAATGTTATATTCTAAAACAGTAATTTTACATATCATGGGACAATAAATAAATCAGAAATAATTTATGAAAGTTGCATGCAGAAAAACTGATCAAGTATTCAACCAGTCCAATTCTGTACTAATTCTGTAACAATTTTCCATGCATATTCTGGTTTTTTATGACATATTCCGTGCATATTCTGTACATATTCCCAACATATTCCTTGATTTTATGTACAGAAAAGTATTCTTTTATGGCAAAATCCTGTACCTTTTCTGGGTAGCAATTATAATGGAATTACCTGTACATTTTCCGCACATTTTTCATACATTTTCCATGCATAATTTTTTATAGGACATAAGATTGACTAATAAGAATTATAATTGAAAAATAATGGCAGTATATAGTAGTTTTGTGATTAAGTGAATTTATTTTAATATCATCCAATAAATTGAACCAATTAAATTACAAAGATTAAGAAATGAGCTACAAAAATTTAACCAACTATACAAACTTCTGCCTATGACCTCTCATACATTTGTAACACATGTAATATTGGACCCCAGTAAAGGACCCCAAACAATCTTAGTAGATAGTACATTTCAATTTTGGGTAGAATCACCCTTTTTTTGATGATGGTATATCAAATGGTACATTTGAAACTGGGTATTGGCCTCATATGGTACATTTGAAAATAGGGTATTTTAAGAAATTTTTATAAGGGTGTATTTGAAATTTTTAAGTGGTGCAACGATTTTTTTCCTTTTTTATCCTTTAAACGGTCAAAGTATTCTTTAATGGTAACACAAAATAATTTTTTGATCACGATCTTGCATTCTTATTGGTCAATTTAACGATCTGCAAAGTAAAATAGTCAATCAACAAACTTTTAAGGAAGATTTTATGAAAACTACAAGAACAACAACTGAATTTTATTCACAGATCATTCAGCTGAATCTCAAAATCATTTTCGTATTAGGAAGTGATACCTTCTGAAATGTTTTTTATAACAGAAAAAAAATTTCTGCTATCAATAGCTGAAAATCTGTTTAAGGGATAAATAAATAAAAAATATAAAAATGGTAAAATATACCAAACAGCATCTTTTAAACAATGAATATGTTTGAAAAGTTTCTGAAGATGGTGCTAATGTTACATGTATTCGTGGTAATAAAATAAAATTAAAGCACCCTTATGATGAAGATTATATAAATCGGCATGTAGAAAGTGGTGGGTGTAAAAGAAAGAAAAACACCCAAGAAATTACTAAATTAATACACAAAACCAGTCATCAGTATAATTTTTTTCATGCATTGGTCTTTGTGGTGATAAGTATAAAGCATATATTGAACATACACAACTTACTGCAACTCATGGTGGTGCACCTCCATGTCATGAAATAGCACACCAACTATTTCCTTTGGTTTTTCCTATAGGTTTAAAAATAAAATATTCAAAATCAAAATCTGATCAACTAGAATGTCTTGAGCAAGAACTTGTTAATCAATCAAAATGGTGAATTCAAGGTCTGTCGATTCAAAGTACAAATGTAAAAAGGACACTCCATGCACTTCTAAAATTTGTATTGAATGTCAAAATCTCAAAAATGATCAAGTTTTTAAGCTATTATATTTATAATTTAGTAAATTTATTATATAATTATATACTATGGGATACTTTCATTATTTATTAGAATGCACTAAATAAAAAACATATAGATACAAAAAATTACAAGTTTATCTCAAAATTAGCTTGCATAGCAGCCCAATATCAAGATATATAACTAATAGTGATGTTATGCAGCTTATAAAACAAATCAAAAATATATAATCTAGAAGCTGAAGAATCTTTTTGGTTAAAGCTTGCTGAACTGGGTGAAAAAAGATCATTTAAAAAACAGTCTACATTTGGAGGTTTATGTGAAGCATGCAAAATTTGTATTATTCCAAAAAATATTTGCCATTTTATCATCTTTAAGTACTTGTGCATATAATGCTTTTCAAAAAAATCTAGCTGGACATGAAATTCAAAATATTAGATAAATTAAATTTAAGCATTTATTATTTATTGTTATTCTCTATTTCCAATAACTATTAGTGGTTTTGGTATTTCTGTCATAAAAAAACATGACATGTATTATTCAAGTAGTGCCTATTATAAAAATGGTAATTATCATTCTTTTGTAGAATCTCATTGTGAAATTGATTCAATATCCTATATTTCATGTTGAGTTTTTTTACCTCTTCAATTTGACCTTTTTCTTGTTTTTCTTCTGATGTTTTCACTATCATGTGTCATTTACCTCCTTTTTCATTATTACATTATTTGGGTTATGGTGATTTTGCATTTCATGATAAGCCACATGGTTATTAACATTAAATGGGTTAGCTTTAGAGCAATTTCAATTTTTTAATCAAAGATAAATTGAAAATAATTCTGGGAAAAAATAATTATATTTTAAATTTAGTGGAAAGAAAAATTACTGTTTTTTTCACATATGATATATTTGAATTTTGGGTATTTTTCATATTTTTTGGGAATGGTATATTTAAATCTGGGTATAATTTTCTAAAAAAAGTGGGTAGAGAAAAGGTGATTTACTATTGAACCTCAAATGTACCATCTACTAAGATTGTTCAAGGTCCTTGTGAACTCAATAATTTTTTTAAATTAATATATTAAAATTAAATATGCATAATCAAGATCACGTAAGTAAAAACAAACACAAAAATTTCGAGCTCCTTTTGAAAATTGGCCGTTGACGCAGTAAATGTTGCTATTACAATCAGGGGCCGGGGCCTCGTAACCAAATGAGCACTTGGCAAACTGGCTAAATTATTAACAAGTTTTGTCAAGTTTAGCCAAGACAATTATTACTAAATTAGGATTTTAACCCAGCCCTGACTGATTACAACAGGCTTCCGCGCAACGATCTACATATTTTATCCTGTTTGTAAAATGGAAGACATGATTGTATCTCTTTTTCAATTATTAAAATTTAAAATTTTAATTAATAAATAAATAATATGTCAATTGGAACAACTGTACCAGCTATTGAAGGTCTTGAATTTCTTAAGGGAGAGCCTGTCACCATTGGAAGACCTGACTCGAGTCCTGTGGTAATTGTTGAATTTTGGGCAACTTGGTGCCCACCTTGTAGGAATTCGTAAGCAAAAAGAACAAAATATTATTATAAAAAAATATACAATAATATACTATAATAACATGAATTATGATATTCAAGTATCCCACATTTATCCGAAATTCAAAATAAATATAAAAAGGCTATAATTGTTGGAATAACAAGTGAAAAGTAAATATAAATACAAGTTTTGAATTAAAAAATTTTGTTATTAAATTATAAATATACATCCAATTAATTGATTGATGTTAAAATATTGGGGATCTTTTGTTATAGAGATAAGATATCGGTAATTGGTTTTTCATGATTTAACATTTTTTGAGTAATACTTGTGCGAAAATATTTGAGGGAGTTTCGAAATTTATCTTTTTAACTAATAATAATAATATTATTATTATAGTCAGTGAAAACCTTTATTGATGAGATGGGCGACAAGATGAATTATAGAGTGGCAGTAGATATTGAAGGATCGGCAAGATCTAGTAAATATTAATAATAATTGTATATTAATATTTTTTTAAAAAAAATTAATATTAATAATGATAATGATAAAATTATCAGATATTTTTGTTCCAAGCGGGCAAAAAGGAATACCAACTGCTTTCATTTTAGTTAAAAACCAAATAATTTGGGTTGGGCATCCAATGACTGAAGAATTTGAGCAAGAAATACAAAATGCAATTGTTCAAGCTTATGGAAGTGAATAGAGAAATTAGGCGAGCTCAAATGCTAGTTGGTTGTTTTTAATTTTTTTTTTCCATAAAAAAATTTGTTAAGATAAAATGTATAACGAATATTATTATTTGGTTTTATTAGATAAATTAAATAATCTTGTTATAAATAAAAATACTAAATAAAATACTAATATTATGATATATATCTATAATTTATTACATATAAAATACTTTTTTGTAAGAGATTTTTAAATAAATATATTAATTTCATTTTATTGTATAATTAGTGAAAAAATATTGACTTTTCTTCATTCGTTCTTTTGTTCTCTCAAAAGTCCTCTTGTAATGATAATAATTATTTTTTTATTTGAGTAATTATAATTTTATAATACAAATAAATTATTAAAAAATGCTGCACCACTTTATTATATCAACTAAATGTATTGAGATACCCAACGAAATCCTAGGAAAATTGTTCATTTTGAGAAAATATAAATTACCAATTTTAAGAAATTAATAATGTAACCAATATAAATAAATATTTATTAATATCATTATCATTAATTTTGTAAGTGAACTTACCATCACCATATCCTTGTCTCATTACAACTGAACACATGAAAACTTCAATTGGACGAATATCTTTCAATGGAACTTTACCCTAAAATTTTTTATATATTAAATAAACATCATAGAAATAATGTTCAATAATAAAGGAAAAAATATACAAACTTTTCCAGTCGTTTGATATAATCCAAGTGCATGTCTCAATTCTTCTTCGGATACTGCACCAGCTGCATCAATTTTATTTCCTAGAATTAAAAATGGCACAGTTGAAAGTTCTTCAATGGAAAGAAGTGCCTTTTTAATTAAAATGGATTATTAGTATTGCTGATGAGATTATATTATTGTTATTGCGTTTAGCATACACTTGTATTTATTTATATCCTTAAATATTTTACGTACATCTAATTCAATTTTACTTTCGTGAAATCTTTCACGATCTTGAGCATCGACCATAAAAACAATACCCGAAACTTCTGGAAAATAGTCTTTCCAAAGACGTCGAGCTATAAATTATCAAATATAAAAAGATTAATAAATTATCATGATTGCTCTCCTCCCTTTTTTTCACTCCTTTTTTATTATTTATTCTATATCATACAAATATAATAATATTATAATTAATTACTCGATTACCTTGTTGATGCCCACCAAGATCATAAGTTGTAAAACGAACATTTCCTATAGCCAATTCTTCCGAAGCTATTTTAAATTGTAACATAAATTGAAAACAATTAATATTAATTCTTTGATATATAAATAAATAAAATAATGCATACTTGGATGTAATGTTGGCTGCAATGTTGCAAGACGATCATTTTTTAACATGTGTAGTAAAGTTGTTTTTCCAGCATTATCTAATCCCAAAAATAAAATTTTAGCGTTTTTATTAACGAGACCTAAAAACACCAATAATAAAAATTATTATTCATTAGTTATAGATTTTTTAAAGCCTTTATATATATATAACATTTCAGTAAAGACGAATGAAAGATCTTCTCCACTATATCCATACCTAAAGATGCTAAAACATCAAAAAACCATTGAATGATAAACATTTTCTTTAAAATAAATTTTCTATGTTAAATCAAATAATTTTCTCACGACAAAAATTTATTCTTTAATTATTAATATTTAATATTAAAAAAATTTTAGGAGTACGAACACTTGTCAAGTTTACCAATTTCAATAATATTCACATGAAAATCCTCATATAATCATGTGACCATTTTTTTTTTATCTATTTTTTAAAAAAAAAAATGCCAACTGAAATTCAATTATACCAAACGATAGAGTACATAATTCGTTCCCAACAACCAATATAAATACAGATACAAATAAAAATGCAAGCACAATTGCTAGTTCAAATGTAAGTTACACTTTGACATCTAATACCACTATCATTGTAACATTTATTGTTGTTTTCTCTTATTTTACATCCAAAGTATAAATTAACGAAATTTTATAATGAGACCATCAAGGACATTATTACACAGCTCAAATAAGTGATTAATTCATTATTGTGTATGTTGGATTGGAAAAGGTCCTAAAACTATATTATCAGAACTTGAAGATTGTTATAATGGAAAGTTTCCTATTCTAACCATATAATCAATTCAACAACAATATATTGAAATTTTGGAAACTTGGTAGCAGATACAGTTATAAGTTACCATTTGTTGCAATGAATAATTTGGAATATGTGTTGGCTCAGAATTAGTTGAGAGATTATTTTCTTGTATGGGGTTTTTCATACAAAAGCTCAAATAGAGCATTTTTATTAAATTATTATTAATTATTAAGTATGAGAAGGTTTTTTAACAATGATCCAAATTTGTGGTGAAATTCAAAGATCTAAAAGAATATCAAATGAGTAAAAAAGTGAAAATTTTAAATCATCCCTATCAGTAGATCACCATCACCCATTAACTTGGACTTCACACATCAATCATTGGTTAATAATTTTTGACTTGATATTAAGGGGGAATGATATGACTTTGTATCTGCTGTGTGTGCATGTTTAATTTTATTGATATATGACAAAGCGATTTATGACTAATGCTTTTCCTGGGGGTAGATTTATCATATATTGAGTTTGGTATTTTGTATTGGTAATCATGTGATTAATTCTACATTGGGCGTTGATCTATTGCTTTATCCAATGCTCTTTATATCAGTATTAGTATTAGACTAAACTATTATAGATTTTTCTGACTGTTTTTCTACAATAACAGATGAGAAAGATTTCTGGCAAAAAAATAAATTCTCCTTTTTAATAAACTCTAAATAACATGTATGTTATATTAAAATCAACATTTGCATTAACATATCTATTTTCAAATTTAATTAACTAATTCGATATTTCAATGGTTGGTAGTTCAAAGTTACAAAAAATTATGTTTTTTTAATGAAGACCAAAAAAATGTAATCAATTATCATGGTTACATATCTGACTTGGGGTCCCAGTTATTGACAATCAATTTTTTTTATGTCATCCATCATCAATGATGCGCTCTTGAGATTAGTAATCAATATTAGTCATATTTTATCATTCCAAGTATTATATATCATTAATGTGTACACATCGATCAATCATAAACTTATTTTTTTTTCCTCCCATAAAGATTTTAAAAATGTCCAACTTTAAAAAAATTAAGTAAACAAAAAGAAAACGAACAACATGAGTAAGTGTTTTAAGGATGGCAGTGGTGGTTATCGCCTGCCACTCATCGTCACTCTAGCTATATATAATAATAACTTTATTTTTTTTATTAGGACTTTAACTTTAAAGATTAATGAAATTGAGCATCCAGTAAAGTATGCATATTGATTATTTTCTGAAAATATTGATTTTATGGCTCCATTAAAAAGTTATGTATCATGATCATTTATTTAGATTCACTACAAAAGTATATGTAGCAGCCAAATCAGGAATAATACACTGGGACAAGGGGCTTTCGAACAAAGGATCAATGTTTGGTGTTCTTCCGGTGGATACATTTGTATGAATTTAATTGGAATATTACTATTATTTTCTAAAAAGATTAATTACTACATAATCTATAATCAATATAATCAGGGAGAAATCAGAGCAACAGCATTTGGCGATCATGTGGTGTTCTACAATCAAATTGAAAAAAAATAAGGTAAAAACTTTCTATTCCATTGCATCTTCTATTACATTAATACATGTCAATTATTAATTATTTAATTTCAAACAGACTTATTATTTGCCTGATTTTGCGTGTGGAATTGTGTAAACATTCATCAGAACAAATCCACAAATGTGAAATGTACTTTAAAGCAGGGTTGGCAAATTGACTGGTCCATTGAGAACAGATAGATTTTGGACTGGTCCATTGCCATTAATAAAATATTAAATATGGTTAAAGTGTTACACTAATGGACCCAATGGACCACACATTTGCCAACCCTGGTCAGATTAAAGTTGGATTATGGAGTTTGTTATGGACATTCTTGAAGAGATTGAAGAGTCTGAAAAAGGAGAGAAACAGAGCATTTTAAATTTAGCCTTAAAGGAAAACGAATACGTGGTACAATTCTGGAAAACAGTTAAGACGAAAGAAAGAAGTGAGCAAATTCGTAAATTTATATCAATTTGCGAATTTAATGTTTGATGTCGTAAGTCTTGGTTATTGTATTTTTTTTTTTTTTTTACATAATAAATCCATATAATGAGTTAATTGTTTTTCTTGTTTTTTATTTGCAGAATTTGAAGGTGAAAATGTAAGATGAAAAATGGATATAATGAGAGGTATCTATGTATGATTACTTTATGCAGTTAACAGTATGGCATGGGGAAGAAGTTCTCGCACAATTTTAAAAGTCACGTCCAGAGTCGGCGTGGGTGTGCATCCTTAATCTGAGAGCGATTTGGTTCGTGAAGGGTGGGTTTAAATCGGCATTGCCCAAAAGACGTAATCGTGATTACGAACATTCTCAAAAATGTAGTTATTAAGTTATATTTTTGAGAGTGTAGTCTTTGGTCTTTGTCGGACTCGTTGGCTTAACTGAGAATAAACGAAGCTCCTTGTTCCGTGTGCTGCCTGTTGACTGCTTAGAGTTTATTACTGTTGCTGTCGTTATAATGTTTGTTTGTCGTCGCCAGATCGTATTTGAGTGGTTAATTAATTAAACGATTTTAATGATATTTAGGTTACGGCAATCAATTAAAATGAATGTTGATTTTTTTTATTATTTCGATTAAAAATGGTGATATTATTACAATTGTTTTTATTAAATAAATAATGGTTTTATATGTATAATTAATTTATCAATTCTCAATTAATTCAATGTTCTCAATAATATTGATAATAACGATCACGATCATTAATCTTCATTATAATTATCCTAACGCATTATTACGATCCTGACACTTATCATTTCGATCATTCAAGAAGTAAAGATCTTTTATACCTCCTGAAATTTCACGAAAATATTAATGACTATTTTAAGATCAAGTGATTAATTTTGTATCTAATTTAAATTAACTTTGATTTCTATTCTAAGATAAAAATGAAAAATACTTTCACGAGCTAGTTCATTACTACATTAATAATAATGTCACCGATTAAATTCGGGAGAGCGTGTTTTAATTGGTGATAACAATTATTTTTGTTTTTGCATGGATCAGAATGAATAGGGGATCAACGAATTGATTTTGTTATTAGCAAATAATTTTGGTTAAAGATAAAAGTTTTAAATAAAATATTTCTATTTTATTTATTTAGTTTTATTTAGTCGAAACTAATTAACTTATTATTATCACAAAGTTATCCACTTGCTAAATCTAAGGACGAAAACCATTGTGATCCTTGTAGTGTTTCTAGAATATCATCAATTCTTGGTAAAGGATATGAATCCTACTTGGTCTTTTTATTTAAGTCTCTATAGTCTACACAGAATTGTAAGTCTCCTCTTTTCTTTTCTACTACTACAACTCCTGAGGCATACTCACTATTTGATTCACGAATGAATCCCGCGTCTAAAATTCTTCTTGGATAACCTTCCTTCTATCAGGAGATACTCTTCTTGGTTGATGTATAATTGGTCTTGAGTCAGTTAGATCTATACTATGATAAGTCATGTTGGTTTTTCCGATGTTGGAATTCTCCCAAGCAAATATGTCATGGTACTTATACAACAAATCGGAGAGTTGTTGAGTTTGTCCTTCGTCGAGTTCTTTTCCAACATCAATTGCAAATTGGTCTATTTCTGTTTCATCTTCGGTTCCGACATTTAGATTGTAGGCTTGTATCTTTTCTTCCCAGTTGCATCTACATCTTTGATGGAAACCTTTGCATATTTGTTTGCACCATATGCATCGGAAATGATTATGATGGTCTTCTTCTCCACATTCACATGGGTAGTGTCTTCCCCGAAATATGTGCCACTCCTCCTTCATAGTCGTAAGTGGTCTTTCAACTTTTTCCATTGTAAGGTTGTATGCTTCTACGATTCCTGGGTATGTGTCATCATTATAATTGGTGTCTTCTTCTTTAGTTTCTTCTTTGGTTTCTTCTTTGGTTTCTTCTTTGATTTCTTCTTTGATTTCTTCTTTAGTTTCTTTGAATTCTTCTTTAGTTTCTTCTTTAGTTTCTTCTTTGGTTTCTTCTTTAGTTTCTTCTTCATCTCTTATTACCATTGGGGACGTTTTTCTGAAGTGTTGTTCCAACACGAATATTTCTAATTCTCCATCTGAATCTGAGCTTTTATATCCGACGAATCGTATTTATCATCATCTTCTGATGATAGTTCTTCTCCATACTTGCATCAGGAAATTAATTTAGCGTAAACTTGCATAAATCTTACGATGCCGACGTAATATTGTGTAAATCTTACAGTGCCGACGTAAGTTTTACACTTTTTTATTATTAAACTTACAATTGACACGTGTAAAATTTTTTTATATTTTCCGGATGTGTGTGTTACTTCTACAGTTGCTTTTCAGTAGAATGTTAATTTCGAATCACTCCAATTCACTATAGCATTTATTTTGGATAACCAATCATTTCCTAGGATAGCATTATAAGTGTTTGCTTCTGTTACGATTGCTGATAATGGAATTATTATTCCTCCAATGGTTAGTGGTAAGTCATCTAATTCTCCCAAAGGTGAGGTTTTTTGTCCATTTACATTGATGATTACAACAGATGATTTTCGCGGAATTTTTACTCCTAACTTATCTAACAATTCTTTTGAAACTATACTTCCTGCTGCTCCACTATCTATAATTATAGGAAAGCTTCTTCCATTGATACTGCTTTGCAGTGCATTGCAGTTGATCTTATTTCGGCATTTAATTGTTCAGCCTGAGGTGTCTTCTTAGCTCTTCTTGTATGAGGGGTTCGTAAACTCCTAGACAATTCCGATCTCAATTTTGGTACTGCTTGGAATAATTGCCCGAAGGTAATATCAGCTTTCTGCTTCTTGATGTCGGTTACTACTGAGTATGGTTGTATCAAATTCGAAATCGGAGGTTGTACTGTGTTTCTCTTTTTCCTGGGCGTTTTTCTTAAAGCCTTTTTCTTTGCTTCCTTTGATCCTTCATTATTTTTAGGTTCTTTTCTTCGTCTAGAGTCACTTCCGTCTGATTGTATGTTCATTTCTACACCTGTTTCTTCTTCAGTAGTCTTTTGTTTCTTCGTTTCTACAGGTAACATTAACTTTACTGTATTACCTACAACCATATCCGCCAACATTGATTGTTGCCGAGTATTATTACTGGTATTCTGATTATTGGTATTACTACTGTTATTATTGTTACCACTATTATTATTATTATTCCGATTATTGTTACGACTACTATTGTTGTTGTTTCTCCATTATTACCATTATTGTTTTGTGGACAGTCCTTACTATAGTGTCCCAATTCTTGACAACGATAACATCTGACTCCTATGTTTCACACCATTATTACTGTTGCCATAATTGTTGTTGCCATTAGAGAGTTGTGGACAATTCGGTTTTATGTGTCCTTGTTGTTTACAATTGTAGCATGTTACTGGCGGACGGTTTTCACTATTTTAAATCCTTAGTCCCTGCTGGACATTATTATTTCCCTTAATTAGGTTAACCAGTTGATCAATTAACCTTTGTAGTGGTTGGTTCACCCTTGATTCATTCCTGGAATGTTAGGCATGAATTGTTCTGCTAAATATGCCGACAAGGTTCCTCCTCTAGAGTAGGTCATCTCATAAGCCTTGGCTCTATTGCATCCTGGATAGTGTCGGGTAAGAATGGACTTACTGCTATGGATAATTCTGGTCGTAACCTTTCCATGAACATTCTTGCTTTGACTCTGTTTGGATAATTGTTTCCCCCATATTCAATTCTCCTGAACAATTCGTATATGTGTGCTGCGAAAGCATCTACTGTCAACAGGAGAGACCGTCCTATATAAGGAATGGATTTTCACAATTGATTTCAATTTTTTTTATACAGTTTAAAATACT